TCTTGTCATGGCTCTCACTTCTTTAGGGTATATACCTAGTAATGGAATAGCTGGGTCAAATGGTATTTCTAATTCCAACTTTTGGAGGAATCGCCATACTGCTTTCCACAGTGGTTGTACTATTTTACAGTCCCACCAGCAGTGTATGAGAGTCCCAATCTCTCCACAACCTCACCAGCATTTGTTATTTTCTGTCCCATTGAACTTTGCTATTAGTGTTGGAGCAAGATGGTATCTCGTTGTTTTGATTTGCATCTCTCTAATAGCTAAGTATCATGGGGTCTTTAGTGGCATCTCTCGTCTCCACCCACTAGTTGCCAGCATCCCCGTACCCCTAGTTGTGACAGCAAAAAAAAAAAAATGTCTCCAGACATTATCAAATGTCACTGGTTGAGGACTGCTGACATAAATATTTATTTAGTTCCTTTTGTATAGATGACACTCAACCGGGCACTGTAAAACATTAAAAATCTGACATGCTGTCACTATTAAGAAGATTGGTTTCTAATTTTCCAAAGTTGAATTATTCTATTATTTCTCCTGCTATGTTGGATAAAACCACACACATACACATATGTGGCAGTTAGTTAATAAATTATCATTATATCAAACCAAAAAAACCAAACTCTCTGCCATCAAGTTGGATCCGACTCATAGTGACCCCTCCAGAGTTTTCCGAGGCAGTATCACTTCGGAAGTAGATTGCCCCATCTTCCTTCCGAGGAGTGGCTGGTGGGTTTGAACTGCCAGCCTTCTGGTTAGCAGTCAAGTGCCTTAGGTGTATTAATATTAGAAAAGTAGTAAATTATAGGCATTGATGATCCAATGCTATGTGTTTTATCACAGGTAAGTGCAGGAAATTTTGATGATGGATCCATAGCAAAACTAGTAAGCAATTTCCCAACTAAATTCTGTGTGTACTCCAAAGACTGGAATTATTTTTTGCTCTCTCATTTCTTACAAAGATAAAATGTTCTTGCTGATGCACAGATGGGAGCTCTGGTAGTGCAATGCCTAAGACATTTGACTGCTAACCAGAAGACTGGTGGTTCAAACCCACCAGCCACTCCTTGGAAGGAAGGTTGGGCAATCCACTTCTGTAGGGATACTGCCTCAGAAACCAAAAGATGAATGGGTGACATCACAACAGAACCAACTGAAATAAAAAGGATAATATCAGGATACTA